ATCCCATAAGATCTTGAAAGAGCGCATAACTGATTTCCATCAAGGAACATTCACTGTAGATAGCACAGTAGGTGTGTGTTGTGGTGGTGATGGGGAATTGACCGGAGAAATTGTGGGTAATGGTTTTATGGGGTGGCTCACCATGTTAGGGTGGCAGGGAAGCAGGGTATTGGCTGGCTGAGGTTTCATAAGTTAGACAGAGGACATTTAAGCACCCACATTCTTTACCTGACCTCAAGTTCATCCATCCCAGCCCCACTCCCCCAACTACAAGGGAAAGTACAGGCCAGTTGATTAGGTTTTCAACAATGGGAATGTAACTAACAGAACAGATCCCAGAGGCCCTGTAACACTCACAGTCAGCAGCTCCCAGCTTTATGTGCTCAGTGATAGAGTGGCGCATTCTCAGAACGGCTTTTTCTGGAGAGTTAAGAGGGGAACCTAGAAACCTCCCAAATCTGATAGTTACCTTATCAGAGCTCACCTTCCCAGCAGAACTGCATCTCCAGGTCTCCAGGGGAACAGAGTGCCCCAGGAAGGGCAGGGGGCTACCTGGCGGAGCTGGATGGACGAGCAGGACAACATGCCTTGCCCAGGGATTAAAATCATGAGCTTTGAGTTCCTGTGTCTCTAGCTTTGCCAGTTTCTAACCTGGACTCTGGGCTTCTGTTTCCTCTTCTGTAAAATGGAGACATGATATTACCATCACTTGTGCAGAAGGGGACTAACATGAGACTGCATAGCTTAGATTTTTGCAGGTTGACCCTTGCTGGCATCTGGGAACTTGGGTTTAAGAACGGTCCCCACCATTCTCTGATCAGAAAGGCTCACTGGGCCTGAACTATTTATGCAGACAATGTGGTTTATGCTAAACACTGCTTGCCCCCAAGACTGAAATTTTGGCATAAACTAGGCAGAGGGTTCTTATGTGGCCATGTCCTAGGCACTGAGTCTCTGATGAGCTTCGCTGATAGTTTTTCACACGTGATGTCACAGTTTGATGCTGGAAGAATTAATCACTTCCTGTGGGCCTCCTGGGGAGAGGACCCTGGAAGCTTATGCCTGGCTCCCTCCAGCCTTTGCTATGCGCCCTTTCCCTTTGCTGATTTTGCTTTGTATCCTTCCACTGTAATAAGTCACAGCTGTGGTTATGTCTATACATTGAGTCCTATAAGTTCTCCTGGTGAGTTACCAAATAGAGTGAGTGATCAGGGGACGTTGTGAGTCTTAAGTGACACCAGACACTGAACATTTAGCACTGTGCAAGGCACAGACGAGGCACAAATTCACCAGAGACAAGGAACCATCTACAGACAAGAGACAAGAGCAGATCTTCACTTCCCTACTGTGTCCTGCTCTGCAGTGCCAAAAAGCACCAGGACCCTTTCTTTTTCTTGTCCCCAAAAGTGGGACTCATGCTTGTTCTCCTGGTAGATATCATGCTAGATCGTGGAGGTTCTCTGCATTTAGTCAAGAGTAAGCTTCAAAGAAGCATTATTGTAGGATTAAAAAAAAATAAAAACAACTTTATTTTCTTTTAAGTTGCTTCCTCTATAACTCTTTAACTCAAGCTTACTAGACTTGTAGAAATGTATTGACATTTATATTACAATTGTATAGTATCACAAGATGCATTGTAGTTAGATTAATTAAGCCATGGATTTCCTCTCCACCACTGGCTTATTAAAAAACAAGAACATGGATATGATCCTTTATATACTCTCCTATGAATGGGATAGCAACCACAGGGATATCCACTGTCAGTAAGGGAAGAGGAAGACATTTCTATTCAGGTTCTAAAAATACTTGATCTCACATTTTCGGTGTTTTTCAGGTAGGAATACATGTAAAGAATGCTTTTCAAATGATTTTTCTAAAATAATTGCTAATTTCTTCTTTTAATAAGGTCATAAAATTTATTGAAATGTCAATGGACCCTGCCAAGATAAGACCAGATCATATTTTAAAATGTATTTTAATTTTCACTAAATAATAAAGAGAGATCAATCATATATAGAGCCCTTTACTTATATGGTGTCATTTCCTGGTAAGTGAGAACACTTGACTGACAAACAGGAGCATCCTAATCAAAACTCCTGTGAGTTAACACAATTGTATAACAGGTAATATAGTCACCGAAATTGGACATGGTTGCTTGAGACTGAAATGAGGGTTTGGGAGTGGGCAGGAATGATGAGCATCAGAAGACACAAAATAGGAGATAATAATCAGGTCTTTGCTCTGAGTTAGCTTTTCTCTGTGCAGCAACCTACTGCAAAGTAAATGGCTTAACCGAATTGCCATTTGTTTGTCTTGATACCACACGTTGCCACTCTGGGTTCAGCTCCGCTGGGTGAGTCACCTGCTGGTTGGAACGGCCGCACCTGGTGCATAACTGCTGGTCCGCTAGGTGGCGCTCCTCGGGTTTGCTGGTGGTTGGCTGTGCTGTGGGTACCTGGAATACAGCTACTCATCCTCCAGCCGGATCCGCTGACCGCGTTCTCGCGCGCATTCTAAGAGCAAAAAGAGCAGCTCCCAGTGGGCAAGCACATTTCATACTTGCGTCGTGATCTCTATTGCCTCGTTGACCACAGCAGATTACATATCTGGGTTCAGAGTCAGTATGGGAGGGCCCCATCTCGGACATGGGCACAGGAGGCCTGAGACATGGGGCTCTGCCTGTGGTTGTCCACAGTGCGCCTGTGCTGGCTTACACTTCAGCTTAGGGGCTTTCATATGAGTAAACCCCATTGGCCTGTATCTGTTAATCTACTGTTAGTAAGATGCTTAAAGAATAAAAAATATGTCTCTCTTCCTTTATATATATATGTGTGTGTGTGTGTGTGTGTGTGTATAAATACACATACCTGTGTATCAAGGTTTTGAGCCCTTATCATCTTTTATTTCATTTTAAGTTGTCCACATTAAGTTTTCATTTTAAGCTTTCCACATTAGTCTGAAGGAACTAGTAGGCTGGATGGGAAATGGATTTTTCTAGAGTATCTAAGTGGAGGGATCTGACCATTGTTGAGAGGATGCATATCCAGTTTGAATGAGAGTATGAATGTGCATAATTCACGTGGTGGAAATCCAGCTCCCAACATGATAGTACTTAGAGGTGGGGACTTCAGGAGGTGATTAGCTCTTAAAGGTGGAGTCTTCATAAATGGGATTAGTCCCTTCCCTCCATTCAAGAAACTTTTGAGATATCTGTTGTCCCTTCCACCATGTAAGTTTACAGAAACACACACACACACACACACACACACACACACAGCTGTCTAGGCAGGTGACACCAATCTGCTGGTATGTTGACCTCTGACTTCCAGCCTCCAGAACTGTGAGAAATAAATTTTTTGTTGTTCATAAGTCACCTATGTGCTGATATTTTGTTATAAAAAGCCCAACAGACTAGACATCCGCATAGAAGGCTGAATAGGAGCTTGAGAAAAACACACACACACACACACAGAAGAAAGCAGGAAGACTCTGATTGCCAAGCAGAGATAAGGGGTTCAAGTTATAAATTTTTATGCAGGATAAAGGGAAAAGAGAGAGAGCACTGACTGTTAACATCTGCCCCCAGGTGCTAGTCACTAAATAAATATACTGTTCTGGGTGATTTCAGCCCACAGCAAATATTTCTTGAATGCTAATTACTATATGCCAGCGCTGGCAGTGTCACAAAGCAGGTCGCTTTGCTTTACTTCCATTGTGGATCTTGCATCCTGCAGGAAAAGCAGTTTCCAGGCACACCATTGGGCATAATTAGTTGACCCCACTGGGTAAATGCTGCAAGGATACTACTGCAGCAGTGAATAACCCACCTGTTCAGGTCTGAAGGCTTCCCCAACAGAGCAACCTTGGAGCCAAAATATTGGGGCTTTTGTTTGTTTTTTCTTAAAATGCCCATGGCCATTTGGTAAGTATTCTCCAAATAATAATTGTCTTGTTCACAATAAATTCAGAGGGAAAAAGCAGTTACCCAAGCTGTAGGTAAAAGGTAACCTACTTAGAATTCAATTCAAGGTATTTGGAGGTCTCCCCGTCAGTGAATATGTTGTGCTTTTCCAACATTTTTTATTGAGTTAATACTGGTTTATGTATAGATACATTACATATCTAGACTTATATACTTCTGTAAAATTATAGGCTTAATTAGGTAAGCAGCATTTTTCAAACAATTAAAATAAATTATACAAAATTCTCAATATAGCGTGCAGAGAAAGTGGATCTTCCTTTTTTTCTTTGCCTGCAACCCCCACCCCACCAACTCCCTATAGTCAATGTCAGTTAAGTTTCTTATATATTTTCCAGTGATATATTAAATACATGGAGCACTTATTTCATACCTTTCAAATAAAAAATGTAATCCTAAAAGTAATTTTATATAGTGAATGTAATTATTAGTCCCATTTTTCATGGACACACATTCCATTTACACGCATACTAAACAGTAAGATGCTTATCCCTGTTTGATATCAACTTTTGCTTTGATGATATCACATAGCAAACAAGTCCAAACTCTTAGTGACAATTACAAACATTTATTTTTACTTTCAGTCACTTGGCCTTGGCTCCAGATTGGATGTCAGATTTTCTGTCTGCTTCATGCATCCTTTGGGACCCTGGCTGAGCATCATCGGCCAGAGAGATCTTGATGTGAGTGGTAGGACCAGTAGAGGAAAAGTAAACACACAGTACCACTGAAAACTTCCACCCTGACCTGATACCTTGCCCCTCCATCCTCAGCCCACTCTGTAGTCCAAGCAGATCACATGACCAAGTCCAAAGTCAATGGCGAGTGCAAAGAAAGAATGAAAACATTTGAATGCAATTAACTTCACAGCCTAAAAATCAAATCTTTTGCAGCTGGTGTATGGAAGAGTAACTGAGAAGAGCTAACTGAATGAAGCCAGCACTGTCTCATGGTCTTCCCCTGGCCAGACATGAACAGTTGCTTTTTTTTTTTTTTTTTTTTTTTTTCTGTTTGCTCTCAGGTGTTTGCATCATGTTTGGGAAGAAAAAGAAAAAGATTGAAATATCTGGGCCATCCAACTTTGAACACAGGGTTCACACAGGGTTTGATCCTCAAGAACAGAAGTTTACTGGGCTCCCGCAGCAGTGGCACAGCCTGCTAGCAGACACGGCCAACAGGCCGAAGCCCATGGTGGACCCCTCATGCATCACGCCCATCCAGCTGGCTCCCATGAAGGTATGGCGAAGCTTCTGTCTTTCCCTGGGCTTAAGACGCGTGTTCTCATTTGCTGAGGTTGACCATCTTTGCTGGCAAGCTATCACATGTCTACACCATGGATTTATTTTTCAGTATCCACAAACTAGCCACAACTGTTCTCCGGTGATTATAATGTTCACCACTTACTGTAAATTACAGAACATGGGGAGGGATTTCAGCTTTGAGATGTGAGTCCTTTTTAAAATCAGACACATAAAACGCAATGCAAAAGGGGAAATTTTTTTTACTTCTTCAAATGTGTCTGCTAGTCGTTACAATTAATGTTAACTTCTCACCCTGGTTAATGTTATTATGCTTGACCACCTTTTGTTGTTTTGGCTTTGACTCCAAAGTATGCAAATTTCTACATCAAATTGAATACTAACAGACTTTGACAATAATAATTACATAGACACATAAATGAACATGTATGCATATATACACAAGTATTGGCATGCTTTATGTATCTGTGTCTATCTAGATTCTAATATTTCTTCATAGTCTAAGACAGAGCTGTTTCAAATAAAATATCATTGGACTCCTAGAATAGTATATAATTTACTTAAACAAATGACTGGTAGATTTTTCCAAGGAATATATATAGAAGTAATTGTATTGAAGTAGAAGTCAAACCTAGCAAATTTCAGATATGTCAAGATACTACAAAGAAAATCCAGCCACTGGTTTCTTTCTGTGGTAGAACAGTAAGGTTCCATAGACAATAGGAAATTTCCCAAAAACTTTCCACAGGAATGAAACATTATTGACGTTTATCATTATGTGATCCAACAGATCAAATTGTTATCTTATTCATTAGATAGTAGTAGACTTTTGGGCTACATGAATTCCTTATTCCATATCATCATGAATATTGTTTAAATGATAGGCCTCACCACTGAGATTCTGATTCAGTATTTCTGGGTGGGCCCAGTGATTTGCATGTTTAGCAAATTCCCTAATATTGTTGATGGCTAAGGAACAAACTGTTTTCCAGAAGCACTGTTTTAGGTGGACTTAAGCTGGATAATGATCACCTTTTGTAACACCCTAGAAATCATTTGTAAAATGGTTTTTAAAAAACAAGATAAATTTAATATTTAAAAGAACACTTGTAACTTTATGTAATGTGAACAAATAGTATCTCCTAATATTTATTTCAGATTTGCTTTTCATGTTCATCTAAGACTCTAAATATAGCACTGACAGTATTATCTGGCATATGTAAGTTTCATTAAATGATGTCATAGTACATACAGTATCCTCTAACTTGCTTTTTAACTTAATATTATTTTGAGATAAATTCATATTGATGTGTTGACAATGAGTTTATTTGAAAATTATAGATTTTTAGGGTTGACCTATTTCTTCACTAAAGGATATGGCCACTCCTCTTGGTATTACAAATAATATTGCCATGACCATCTATATTCATGTCTCTTTGGCCTATGCACTTCCCACACTTTTGTGTGTTTGATTATTTCTTCTGGAAATAAAGAGTTTTGTTTTCTCCCACTAGCTGTAAGTCTCTTAAAGATTATCCAGTGTTATTTTCCATCCCTTTTAATACTAGTTCTCTGAAGGAGAAATATGAAGTCATTTAAAATACCTACATTCTTTCTCTCCAACCCCTTTTTCTAATTTAGCTTTCATGTACTTTCTAACAATCTTCCTTTTATCCTTTCAAGTTTGAAATTTCACAGAGAATTCTGATGCAAAACTGCTTGTGGCTGAGTTTGCTTCATCTTTACCATCCTTGAGATCTTATCATCTTCCAAAAACTGAAATTCTCTCATCTTTGTCTTCTATCCCTGATCATCACATTAAAATCCCCTATACTCACCAAAGCAGGGAAAATAAAGACAGGTAAATCCTCCATCCAGTCACCTGGTATTGATGACTCATGTTGCTCTTTCATTTTCTCCTGTCATCATTTATATATTTTTTTAATATTTATTCATTTGTGCATACAGAACTAGAGTGCAGACCAGAGGTGCAGGGGTGGTGAGAGGATTCACCAGAGACAGAGTGGGGAGCAGAGCAGGAAGATTGACGAAGTACACTGCTGAGGGGAGTAGCAGTCGAGACAGGAGAGGTCTGCTGCGCCATGTGGGTCACTTTGCTGGCCTGGGGTCAAACGTGCTGAAGTAGCTCTGGCTACTTTGTAGTGCTGTGCTTTAACCCCTGTGCCACCAAGGAGGGCCCATCATTTGTGATTTTTTGAGTGTTGTTGATGTAGAGAGCCCCCTTAAGAGAGTCCTTAATGACTCAAGAGTTCTCTCTTTCCTCCTTTTTCATGTTTCACAATTTTGCATTCAAGGTTTAAATTTTTAGAGCCATATCAGCACACTTGATCCTATTTCCATGGGATTCACCCTTTCTTTGATTATTTTTTTTCTATTTTATTTTCCTAAGGTTCATGGCAACCATCTGACATTTTCCGCATTATCTCCATTGCCATAAAGGAAATATTTCTTTCGTGTTTCTCCCCCCCCCCTTTTTTTTTTATGTGCTCTTCCTTGTTGGTTAGGATGAAGTCGGGAGATGATTTCTTTTTGTACAGCCTATGCTTTCTGAGAGTTGTCACCAAAGAGTTCTAACTGTGTCTTGGTGAACTGAGAGGCTCTCAGCTGAATAAAGATCCCAGCAATTCTGAGAGCTGGGTCTTCCCCATCATGATCTGTCTGTCTGACTTGTAGCCCATAGAATGACTGCCTCATACTGACCTTTAACTAGATGAGCAGCTTCCTTCTCCTGCTTTCACCCCACTGTCCCACTAACCACCCCACCCCTTGTTACTCTTGGATTCCCCATAATGTTCTTATCCTTTTAAAAGTCAGTGTGGTTTTATCTCCTCTGTTTAGATCTGTCTCTGTAAAAATGTACTGCTAAAGCATCTTTCCTACGACATGAAATTGAGTGCCCTGCTCTTGATCCACTGCCCTTGGAAATGGAAGATCACCACGCCTTAATCTAAGTCCACATCTTCCCATTACAATCTGTGTGGCCTAAATTAAATCACTGGCCCACTTCTCTGGACAAAAATGTCCTTCCTGTAAAGGGAGGATGCAGACACTTCCCCTGCCAAATCCTGGTGCAAGGACCTTTGGTGTGGGGGAGAGATTCCATTCTATTGTTTGTACTTATTTCAATACTGTGGCAAAATGACAGATCTTATAAGTAATTTTTAAGAAAAATACCAGTACCTACCAACTCTTTAATTAATTATATTGAACAAATGCCTGTATGTGTGTGTGTGTGTGTGTGTGTGTGTGTGTGTGTGTGTTTAAAATTGACAGGTATTTGCTCCATCTTTTAAATGAGGGAAGAGACTTAACAAGGTTAAAGAACTTGTTATAAGTCCCACAGCTAGTTACTGGTAGAGGCCCAGGATTCAACACCCAAAGCTATCTGAGTCAAAACCCATGACTGTAATCACCACACCGTCCTGATGATAAGACCATAGGGTATGTAAAAGTGCATCTAAGTTAATAAATATCATTCCTTTCTTTTCTAACAGATGCTACAACTGAGACCCAGATAGATAAGACAATATTTCTCAAAAATCACAGAACAAGTTAATATCATTAAGCCAGATACTGTTTCTGTGTATTGGGAAGGCTTGCAATTCAATCACTTAGAAAGCCCTGATTCAGCTCTCGTTCACTTGAACATCTGCATGGAATATTGTTGAATGTCCACCTCACTCCAGTTTCTCATCATTACTGCCACAGGACTTTAGTTCTAGCTGTATAGTATTCAGAGTCCTTTGCATTATGTGTGTGATCCACACAGCCTTGTGGAGGGAAAGAAGTGGAATATCTGAACAGGAAATGTCAAGGAGAGTGAGCACCAAGAAGCAAGGTGTGAACTTCCAGATGCCTGGTGCCCCCTGCACTTAGCATATTTGAGGTCACTCAGAGACCCCTCAGATCCCAGGTGTCACTCAGATTTCTATTGGTTTCCCATTGTGTGACCTGCTCTGAACTTAACAACTGAGCTTGTCAAGTGAGGATGGCTGTGCTTTGATACCTGGAAGCTTCTCTCCAAAGGGAGATGCTATATACAGGAACACTGGATTCATCCCAGCTCTTCTCTGCTGGCAGCAGTGACCTAACTGAAAAGAATCCCTTGAAATCAAAAGAAAAGCACACGGCTCTCTGTGACTCCCACATATGCTTGGAGCTTAAAAGATTTAATTTTATCTCTCATTTAGCATCTTATCAAAATTGGGGCATGAAGATGGCAGCTATGGGCTCTTTGGTGGCATTGTCAAATGTTTTGTCATGTAGCTTGAGATACAAGCATGATATCGTTGGTTGTATTTAAGCTAGCGATAAAGCAGTTTATCAATACTTTGATCATTGCCAAGCACCATGTAACTATCCAATTGATTGAATACCGCTCCAGATACCTAGAAGGTTACAATTTCAGTGAATAAAGCTGAGCCCAAGTTGGCACTAAGAGTTTACTCACACAATGCAATATTTGGCTTTCTACTGCTGCATAGCAAATTACCTCCAATGACTAGAAGACCAGATATTTATTATCTCGTTGTGCCTGTGAGTTCTGGACCTCACAACTCTGCTAAAAGTTTCACCAAGGCCCCTTCTATAAAGCTGCTGAATATAACCTACATGCGTCATTCCAGTTACTTTAAACCATCTCTGGATTACTGATAATCCCTAATGCAGTGTAAATGCTTTGTAAACAGTTGTTATATTGTTGTTGGAAAAGTAATGATCAGGAGAGAAATGTTTAAAAGATACAAGGATAGAATAGCATGAAGTACATAGGTGGCTACATATTTTTTCATCCAGGGATGGTTGAATCTGCAGATATGGAACCCACTGATGCAGAGGGCCAGCTGTATATCAGAGCATGTCATAAAATGATGCTCCAAACTCTTGGCTTGTGATGCCACATAACCAGCAGAGGGGCATCTCATCACCTTTGCCATACAATGTGATATAACCATGGAG